ACACACACATAAATGCACACAAATAAACAGAGTCCCCATATTTTCCTATATGTTCTGGGTTTTTGCCTTCCCGCCCAGTTCCCATATTTTCCCATATGTTCTGGGAATCGACGAATCATTGTGTCTGTGTGTTTTTTTGTCCCTCCTGACCTGTGGACCACGCACGGGCGAGAGAACACCGAACTGCTTCAACAGCCACAGCGCCCCCGCCAAGCCTGTCGACCATGACCATGCGGGCCACGCGCGCGCGTCCCTGCGCACGCACGCCGAGCGAACGCAGAGCAATTGGTCTGGCTGCCGAAGCAGCGATTCGCCTTTTTCGTGGTTCGAGCAGGGTAAGGCTCGAAGCAGAGTAGAGTAATTCACTACTCGAGCAGAGGTTCGTCTTCTCCGTGCGCAGCTACGCCCTGCACTAGGCCTGCTCTGCCCGACCGACTCGCGCGCCCGCCGAGTCGGCGGCAAAAAGTGTCCAAACACAGATGAAATAACATAGCTACGGTTTCCAGTTCAACATAGATCAGCGTTCCTGCGCGCGCGTACTTCCTCAGCATCCTCGCCAGCGCCATCATCATCATCATCATCATCATCATCATCGCCAGGGTCATCAGAGCCATTGCCATCAATATCAGGATCAGCTTAGTCACCATCACCAGCATCGTCGTAATCATCACCACAGTGTCAACATCGTCGTTTGTGTCATCGCCGTTTTCGTCGCCCTTGTCATCATCGCCACCATCATCTGCATCATCATCATCATCATCATCATCATCATCATCATCATCAGCATCATCATCATCATCATCATCATCATCATCATCATCATCATCATCATCATCATCATCATCATCCTGACGATCATCATCATCATCATCATCATCATCATCATCATCATCATCATCATCATCGTCATCGTCATCGTCATCGTCATCGTCATCGTCATCAGCATCAGCATCAGCATCAGCAACAGCATCAGCATCATCATCGTCATCGTCATCGTCATCGTCATCGTCGACGACGTCGCCGATGCTGTCTTCACCATGATCGCTCCCCTGCCGAGACCATGGATCTGCATGAGCAGGGTCCGCGCGTCGTTGCGACTTCTGACTTTTGCCAAGAGATTGCGGTCGGGTGGGTGGGATGCTTGCTCCGGCAATGGAGTTGGTGACTTCAAGCTCCTAAAATATCAACTGTATCACACATGTCGGCTTCCATGGATTACGCAACAGAGCGCGCACAGCGAGCATGCAAAAACCCACTGGGATCCACGCAAGCAAACTGCCGGGTGGAAACAGCTCCGAGAACCTCCCTCCCGACGCAGAAGACCGCCACGACGACCACGACGACGGATCCGAGGCGATCGGCGCCCTGCGTCCAAGATGCCCGAGGGCATTCCGAGCCGCCCGCCATCGGACCCTGGCCGCGCCCCATCGGGCCGCCTGCCATAGGCTGACCGTAGCCGCCGGGGTAGCCCTGGCCATAGCCTTGGCCGTAGCCGTGGCCGCCGTAGTTCATGCTCCCGGCGCGGCCGGTCTCCCCCCCGCCCGGCAGGAAGGGGGGAGACAGAAACAGGGCCGCCCGGAGCAAAAGAACTGGCGCGGCGAGGGGGGCGTGGGTGGAGAGGGAGGGGCGAGGAGGCGGTCGTAGCGGCCCCTATACGCAATTCGCAACATGTAGCGCATTGGTGCAAAACTCAACACGTAGACTGAAAACGTAGGTCTGTCGCGATACGTTCGCCAAAACGCGGGCCAACACGTTGAGCCAACACGCAACGTATTGACAGGGATGGTTTGAGCACGGCACGTGCTGCGTCTCCAAACGGGCGTGTCGAGGCAACGTGCGTTCTGACCAAGACTGCCGAGGCGGACTCGACCGCGGCGGCGAAGACGCCCTAAGGGGGAGACCCAAAAGAGGCACAGCAGCGCACCAGCACGTCGAACACACGTCGCCGCACCGCGTGTCCTCGACGCGCCCAACTGGCCATCGCTCGGACGTCCATTTCCCGTGCATTCGTCGGTCTCGTGCGTGGTTCTTTCGCCAAATGATCCAGGATGCTCCTCGAGGGTCCTCGCCGAGGGAAAAATGCGAACGTCCGAGCGATGCCGAGCCAAGTGGAAGACACCCACACTGGGGCAAACACCCCCAGCAAACCCTGCGCCCCCGTGCCCGAGCAGCGGAAAGCCGCGGCAGGCCCACGGCACGCCCGCGCCGCCCGAGGCGGCGTGTTGCATTGGTGCCCGCGGCGCCCTCCTCCTCCTCCTCCTCCTCCTCCTCCTCCTCCTCCTCCTCCTCCTCCTCCCCTCCTCCTCCTCTCTCCTCCTCCTCCTCCCCTCCTCCTCCTCTCCTCCCTCCTCCCTTGCTCATCTTCCTCCCCTCCTCCTCCTCCTCCTCCTCCTCCTCCTCCTCCTCCTCCTCCTGCGAACGAACGGCGCGGCGACACACAGACCCTAAATTTCTTCAAGGCGCTGCACGTCTGGTGCGGAGGGATGGATCGAAAGACTGCGCGGGCACCCCCAGCCTGGCCACTCGCTGCAGGAGCATGTGGCACCACTGGCCGCAGTGAGAACATACGTCAGCGCATGTGAGGCCCCTGCCCGAAACCAGGACGGAGGTGGACACACGAAGACAGACGACGCGGACGATCTGCTGTACCGCCCTTGGGACCTGACGTTATGCTGCCCAGCACTTCGAGGCCCGCCAATTGGAACAAAGCCTGCTGCCATGACGTCTCGGTAGATGAGATGGCCGACACCAGGAACCATGAACCTTCGGTGGCAACTCATGGAAGCCTCCCCTACCATCTTGTCGGCTCTGGCGAATCGACACTAATCCACGCAACACCGACGCTACTCGGCGCTGAATCGACGCTTATCGACGCTAGCCGACACTAAATCGGCGCTATCTCATCGACTCCAGACGCTAATCGACGCTAGTCGACGCTACAGACAGAGTTACGAGGGTACACAAAGCTCCCATGATTTGCTACCGAATGAACCCAAACAGCTTCTTGCCACACCATCTGGGGCGCATAGCGTATCTGCGCCGGCATCCGCGGCGGAGCCGCCCCCTTGCACTTCCGCCCGCTGGCTTCCCCCGGCCTCCCACCGAGGAAGAGCTGGCAACTCCTCGCCAGCCATCCGATGCCTTGTGCATATCCTTCCCCGTGCGGCCCCCAACCCCCCTCGCCGGGGCAAGCTGCTCGTCCCGAGCAGGCTCCCGAAGAGGACAGCGGCGACCAACAGTACCCCAGCAGAGCACCCTCAGAACAAGGGAGAACACGCCATGGGCGAGCCGAGGGGCAGGAGCAGCACGGCCCAGGAGGCCCCCCGAGAGAGAGAGAGAGAGAAGCTGCCGCCGAGGCAGGGGCAGCGAGCGCCCGGCCGCGGGCACCCCCGCGCATGCCTCTGCCGGGGATCTCGTGGCCCCCCGGGCCACACGATGTGGCCGGAGGCGAGAGCACGATTCCTGAAGGTATGCCTCGGCTACACGCAAGAGTGACCCTGGGCAAGAGTGACCTTTGGTGCGCGGCTTTGGGGGGGCTGGGGGGGGGGGGGGGGGGCCAAACGCAAGCGCGCAAGACGCCACTGCCGCCTCGCGTTCGGCGATCTGGGGGCCTCTTTGGCCCGCACCAAAGGTCACTCTGGCGAAAGGTCACTCTTACGTCTAGTCGAATGCAATGTGCGGAAATCGGGAGCGCAGCCGCTCTGGGACCGCTGCCGGACTGGGCGGTCTCGGGCCCCCTCTTCCCCGTGGGACTCTCCCGCGGTCTGTTGCCACCAAGAGTTCCCCCCCAGCGAAACGCGGGTAGGGAAAGGATCACTGCGTTTCAACACGTCGGAGGTCTGGATCCCCAGACCCCCGACGTCATGACTACTTCGTCACGTCGACCCCCCCAAAAGTCTCGACCCCTTCCCCGGGACCGGCTTTCCATCCTGAGTCGTTTTCTTGACGGTCCCGAGACCCGGCGAAGGCCCCCAGAAGCTGAAAGTAATGAAACACCTTGCGTCGTGATTTTTCCATGACTCGAGGGGGTCTCGGTCGACGCCTGATTATCTTGAGCAGGGACTGGCCGTCCCAGCATTCCTGTAGGCCCATCACGACATGTTCCTAGAACAGAGGACTGTTCTGAGAGCACAAACAATGTTCCTAGAGCAGCAGCCCGATGCGCTAAGACAAGATGGCGTCGGCCAGAAATGCCTTGAAAACACTTCGTGGTGCAAGGCGCAACTTCGTGCAAGCTGGAAAAAAAAAGGTTCCCTCGCACGTTCTTCGGTGGGCCCGCACCGCGGGCTCGTGCCGTGCCGGCCTCGGCGCTGCTGGCTCCCGACGCCGCGGGCATCGCTCAACCTTGAACGGTCAGCCGTTTCCGAAACGCCCGATCTGTGGGAAAAAACACACACTGTGGGAAAAACGCACACACACACACACACACAAAAAAAAAAAACACAAGCGCGCACACACACACACACACACACACACACACACACACACACACACACACACACACACACACACACACATACACTCTTCTCAGTGTGTTTTTTTGTCCCACAGTGTGTTGTGTTGTTGTTTGTTTTTCCCCACAGTGTGCTTTTTGTATGTTTTGTGTGTGTGTGTGTTTTTTTCCTCCGCATCGACCCGTCCTGGGCCGCCGCCGGCGCTTCACGCCGAGCGCCCGCGGCGGGGCCGACGCCGCTCGGCACGACGCGGACCCACCGCGGGCACGCCGAGACGCCGCGCCGCTGCTCGGTCATCCTGCGCCCAGGGCGCGGCGCCCGCGGAGAGGGCGCCCGGGGCTGGACCCCCAAAGGGGGCCTCGCCTCGACGCCGCCCTCCTCCTCCTCCTCCTCCTCCCCTCCTCCTCCTCCTCCTCCTCCTCCTGCTCCTCCTCCTCCTCCTCCTCCTCCTCCTCCTCCTCCTCCTCCTCCTCCTCCTCCCTTCCTCCTCCTCCTCCTCCTCCTCCTCCTCCCTTCCTCTTCCGCCTCCGCCTCCGCCTCCGCCTTCTCCTCCTCCTCCTCCTCCGCCGCCCTCACCTCGGGAGCTGCCCGGCCTGCTCCCTGCTGTACAGCGTCGCGGAGAGGTCGTCGATCTCGGTGGAGCTCGTGCCCTCCTGGGAGGAGGCTGTGGCAACTCGTGGGGGCCTCCCCTACCATCCTCTTGGCCCTTGCGGATCGACGCTGATCCACGCTGAATCGGGGCCAGTCGACGCTAGTTCGGCGCTCTCCCGTCGATCGCCCGACGCTGATCGACGCCGACGCACGCTGGAGACAGGACAAAGAAGTGGTACAAGGCTCCCACGGTTTTTGCTACCGAGCCCTCCTTCTGAACTCGGAGCCTTCCTTCTGAACTCGGCCCGGTGCCCTCCTCGTCCTCCCCCTCCTCCTCCTCCTCCTCCTCCTCCTCCTCCGAAGGCCCAAATCGAGGAAGAACGCCGGGACCGGAAAACACGAATCTCGGATCTCAAGCCAGGGCCCTGGCCTCCAGCGGCTGCAGCTGCCGCTCGGGCCGATTTTCTGGCGCCCCTGGAGGCGCGCGCTCGGCGAGGCGCGGCCCCCCGAAGCGCGAGCACCTCCCGGGAACCAAGCACACTCTCCTGAAGGGGCCCCAGGGCACACAAAGAAATACACACACAAATAACATGATTCCCCATATTCTCCCATGTTTTCTGGGCTTTTGCCTCCCCGCCCAATTCCCATATCTTCCCACATTTTCTGGGGGATCGACGATTAATTGTGTCTGTGTGTTTCTTTCCCTCCTGATTTCCGAACGCCCAGCAAATCAATCACCACTCCCGAGGCGTCGGTCACGAGCGACCTCGCGGTCTGGATGCTGGTGCGCGGTCCCGTGCACACGCGATCTCATGGACTCGTCCCGCACGGGGCACCCGCGCAAAGTTGTCTTTGCATCCGCGTCGTGGCCCAAGGGTGCAGACCGCAGGGCAAGGCGTATGGCGTATGGATACGCTTCCCGCCAAAGAGAATTCCTGCGGCGTCGAGGCTCGAGGGCAGGGTTGTTTGGAGGTCTCCCGATCTTCTGGGGCCCCTGCCAGGAAGGCCGGCGGCAGAGAAAGCGAGAGGGGGTGGCCCACCTCCCGAAGCATCTTATTTCGGCGATGAGCCGTCGCCCCAGGTGCGGAGGCATCGGCCTGGAGAAGCGACAAGGCAACGTCCTCCGAACACAGTATATGGCGGACTCCGAAAACCCTGAACCCAAACAGGCTGTCATCCCTTGGGGGCGCATGTTTTACTTCCGCCACCCTCTGCCGCCCTTCCGCCGGCTACCGCGGTATGTGGCAGACTCCGAAAACCCTGAACCCAAACATGTTGTCATCTCTTGGGGGGGCATGTTGTACTTCCGCCACCCTGTGCCGCCCTTCCGCCGGCTACCGCGGGCGGAGGCGGCCTCGTGTTCCTTCCGCCGACCTTCCGCCGCCCTTCCGCCGCCTTCCGCCGAGGAACGGCTGACAACTCCTTCGATCCTCGAAGGCGAGGCCCTTTTTGGAACGCCCCGAATGAAGCACCGAGACGATGCAGAGGAAGCAGAAGACCCCCCCCTCCGCCCGCGCCGTCAGGCCAAGAGCGCCCGACTCTCGGCCAAAAACGGGCCAGGCCATGCTGGACCCCTGTGGAACACTAGATCCTCGATCGGTGAGGCTTCGGCTTGCGCACAGACTTGTTCTGTGCACGTGCAACTGCGGGCTTGTCTTGCAGGTGCGAGCTTTGTCCGCCGACACTGGCGGCAATTGTCTTGCAAAGTAGCCCCGTACCGTGACCCGGACGCCGCTCCCGCTCCCTGTCCGTTGCCTTGGAGCCGCCGACCAAAAAGGCTTGCGCACAGACTGCCCCCCCCCCCCAGGTAGTCCCGGTTGGCCACGACAGGCCCCCCGACCATGTAGTCCTGGACGGCCTCGAGGCCCTGGCGCCGCCTCGGGCGGCGCTCCGGGGGTGCTTGCTCCGCGCTCCAAGGCTCGGGTGTTGCCACCGCCCCGAATAGCCATGGGCGGTTTCAACACCCCGACCTTGGGACGCGGAGCACCCCAAGGGCGCCGCCCGAGGCGGCGCCAGGGTGTTGAGACCGCCCATGACTGTAAACAGAATCGGGGGGCCTGTTGAGGCCAGCCGTGATTACCTGGGCGGGCCCTGTATGCAGCCCGAGGGCTTACTATCCTCAGTCCTTCCGCCTCCTCCTCGGGCTCCTCCTCGAGGGGGCCCCTCCTTCTTCCCGAACGACTTGCGCCGAATTCCGGACCCGGATCCGGCCAGGCCATCCTGGACTCACCAGATACCCGATGTCTGGATTTTTCCCATCCTGTGGGGTTGGGTCCTCGATTTGAAGATACAGCGCTCCGCACCTCCTTCCTCCTCTCCTCCTCCTCCCGCTCCTCCCTCCCCCTCCGTTGCCTCTGCCCTCAAGATGTCCACCACTTCGGTACACCCCTCGCACGTTTCGTAGCCCCATTGGAAGCTCCTCCGAAGGCCCCAGTGGCAGGGTCCACATGTGACTGTGGCACATCCCTGACACGTTTCGTGGTCCCCTGGGCAGCTTCACCGAAGGCCCCACTGGCAAGATCCTCCGAAGGCCCCTGTGGCAGACTCCACATGCGGTTCACCACCCATGTGGGCATACCCCTCACACGTTTAGTAGCCCCATGCCCACGCGCTCCGGCGTATGGCATGAGTGAGTGAGAGAGTGGGACGTTTTTCCGAAGGCCCGGCCCCTGTGGCAGAGTCCACATGCGCTTCTCCAATTTCATGTCGGCACGGCCCTCGCACCTTCCGCAGACCCCTGAGAAGCTCTGGGCCCACGCGCGGATCCCCGCACACTTCGGCACGCCACTCACAAAGTTTCGTGGCCCCAGGAGGGAGCTCCACCGACAGCGCCAGTTGGCAATGTCCGCATGCGGTCCCCCGCACTTTTCGGCACGCCGCTCACAAAGTTTCGTGGCCCCAGGAGGGAGCTCCACCGACAGCGCCAGCGGGCAATGTCCGCATGCGGTCCCCCGCACTTCTTGGCACCACTCGACGCGCCTCGCTGCCACAGGAAGGAGCTCCTCCGAGGGCCCACTGTGGCAGGGTCCACGCGCGGTCCCCGGCCGCTCTCGGCGCACCTCTCAAACACTTCGCCACCACAGAGGGGGGAGCTCCCCCGAGGGCCCACTGGGGCAGGGGCCACATGTGGCTGTCCGCCCACGTTGGCACATCCCTCCCACGTGTCGTGGCCCCCATAGGCAGCTTCGCCGAGAGCTCCACCGGCAAGGTCCTCACGCGGTCCCCCGCCCACGTTGGCACATCCCTCCCACGTGTCGTGGCCCCCATAGGCAGCTTCGCCGAGAGCTCCACCGGCAAGGTCCTCACGCGGTCCCCCGCCCACTTCGGCACATCCCTCACACGTGTCGTGGCCCCCATAGGTCGCCGAGAGCTCCACCGGCAAGGTCCTCACGCGGTCCCCCGCCCACTTCGGCACATCCCTCACACGTGTCGTGGCCCCCATAGGTCGCCGAGAGCTCCACCGGCAAGGTCCTCACGCGGTCCCCCGCCCACTTCGGCACATCCCTCACACGTGTCGTGGCCCCCATAGGCAGCTTCGCCGAAAGCTCCACCGGCAAGGTCCTCACGCGGTCCCCCGCCCACTTCGGCACATCCCTCACACGTTTCGTGGCCCCCTTAGGCAGCTTCGCCGAAAGCTCCACCGGCAAGGTCCTCACGCGGTCCCCCGCCCACTTCGGCACATCCCTCACACGTTTCGTGGCCCCCTTAGGCAGCTTCGCCGAAAGCTCCACCGGCAAGGTCCTCACGCGGTCCCCCGCCCACTTCGGCACATCCCTCACACGTTTCGTGGCCCCCTTAGGCAGCTTCGCCGAAAGCTCCACCGGCAAGGTCCTCACGCGGTCCCCCGCCCACTTCGGCACATCCCTCACACGTTTCGTGGCCCCCTTAGGCAGCTTCGCCGAAAGCTCCACCGGCAAGGTCCTCACGCGGTCCCCCGCCCACTTCGGCACATCCCTCACACGTTTCGTGGCCCCGTGGGGAGCTCCATCGAAGGCCAGTGGCAGGGTCCACATGCGGTTCCAAGTCCATTTGGGCACATCCCTCACACGTTTCATGGCCCCCTAGAGAGCTCCACCGAATGCGGTTCCCACAACGCGGCAGTCACAACTGCATATGGTTGGGTCCTTCGCCAGGATGCCTCAAACATGGGTTTTCGCAAGTCCCGACCCGTTCCCCAGGGCCAGTGATTCATCCCGAATCGTGTTTCGACGGTCCTGGGGCTCCCGGCGAGGGCCCCTGGAGGCCGAACACGGCAACAAAAAACCCGTCGCGATTCTTCGCGCATGCCTGGGACTCGATCCTCGGTACTTTTCCTTTCGCAGCGATGACAGCGAGAACCCCATTCAATGAGCGAGCATCCTCGATCCTTCCTCCTCCTCCTCCCCCCTCCTCCTCCTCCTGCTCCTGCTCCTCCTCCTCCTCCTCCTCCTCCTCCTCCTCTTCCTCCTCCTCCTCCTCCTCCTCCTCCTCCTCCTCCTCCTCCTCCACCTCCCCCTCCCCCTCCCCCTCCCCCTCCCCCTTCCCCTCCCTCCCTTCCTTCCTTCCTTCCTTCCTCCCTCCCTTCCTTCCTTCCTTCCTTCCTTCCTTCCTCCTCCTCCGCGAGAAGGCCCCTCCACATCCCCCCGGCCACGCGGCCCGCGGTCCTTCAGATGGGTCAGCAGGAGGTACATGTCCGTGCCGTGCCCGGGCAGCGCCTGCATGAACACGTCGCCGCCGAAGTACTGGGCGTGCAGCCTCCCAGGGAGGGCAGGATCGAGATGCTCGAGGATCGAGGATCGAGGATCGAACATCGAGTAGATGGGGTGAGAAAGCCGAGGATCGAGGATCGAGGATCGCAGATGCTCGAGGATCGAGGATCGAAGGATCGAGGATGATGCTCGAGGATGATGGTCGAGGATCGAGGATCGAAGATCCTGCGGCCGCCGCTACCCGAGTGGCCCGCGGCCGCCGCGCCCTCCGCTGCCAGGATCGGTCAGGATCGACGAGAACGACGACGACGACGACCACGACGACGACGGACGACCACGACGACGACGACGACGACGACGGCCGACAACGACCACGACGACGACGACGACGACGACGATGGGAAATCGAAGCGAATTGAAATCTGCGTCGGACCGGGCCGAATTGGCACGGAGTCGGGATCGGATCGAGTCGGCCGCGCCCAAGATGCGCCATGACGCCGCGCGGGCACCACGGCCCCACCGGATCGTCGGGGCATCGGGCCAGCCCGAATCGAAACCGAAGTCGGATCGATCGGATCGAAGCTGACCCCGAGAGGGCGCACGAGAACAGATCTGAATGCGTTCAACGTTGACTGTGAGTGGACCTCTTTTTGTGCCCGTGCGTGCGGGTGGCCGGGAGTGGTCGCGTCATCCTGGTCGTCCTCGTCGAGCAGGGGGGGGGGAGAAAGGAGGGGGAGGTGCGGAGACAAGGAGGACTCGTGCGAAATAGTATCGTCCGGCAGTTGGCGGCCGAGGGTGGATGGAGGGGCAGGAGGAAGAGAAAGAGGACCAGCAGGGACGAGGAGGAGTGACAGGAAGAGGGGGCGTGGATGGGGAGCTGATGGAGGTTGAAGGTCGAGGAGGAGGTGGACGAGGCCCACCTCCTGGCCAACGTCGTGAGGACAATACCAAATACCCGGACACCACATTTGCACGGAATGCTCCGAGCTGGGTCGGTCCGTGAGTGAGGATGGCGCTGGGGCCCGAGACGCTGCTATAACAAACGTCATGTCTGCCACATCCACGACATCCAGAAGTCATGCGGTGGGTGACGGGAGCCGGATAAAGACGGGGAAGGAGGTGGATGACCAAGGGTACGAGGAGGTCAAGGAGATCGAGAGGGAGGATGCGGAGAATGATGCCGAGTCTGAGATGGATCCTCCTCGGCCCCGAGAAACCTCTGCAAACCATAACAATTCTTCGGAACGTCAGGGCACCATCGAGCCCCCCGACGTCTCCGAAGACCACGATGACGACCAATGACGACGCCCCCCGGCCCACGCCTCCCAAGTCGCGTCATGATAAAAATACCGAAACGGATCCAGCCGTGTCGACGAGGGCCCTCCAGGACACCCAGGAACGGTAAGAAGCTAAACAATGAATCAAGATTTTCGTCGCCTTTCGCCATCGCTGCCCTCGCTATCGGGGGCAGTCGGCTACTTGCAAGAGTGACCCCAGGCAGGAGTGGCCTCTGATGCGCGGCTTGGGGGAGCCCTGGAAGGAGAGGGGGGGGGGGGGGGCAAATCCAAGCGCACAAGCCAATGTCAGGGCTCGAGCTAAACAGTGTTTTTCGTGTGCGTTTTGGTTTCGTTGTCCTTCGTTCCGTCTTCGCTCTTCCTATGCTGCGACGAGAAATCAAAACGAAGAACGCCAGACCACCGTTGAGCTCGAGCCCTGGCCAGGGCTAGTGGGACCGGACCCCTGCGAGCCCGCACCAAAGGTCACTCTGGCGAAGGGTCGATATTGCGCGTAACCGAGGCAGGGCCTCGTCAAAGGCAGGCCGAAGCCGTAGCCGGCCAGGTCCTTCGCGCGCTTCTGCGCGGCCGACCCGGAGGACCACTCGCCCCAGGGCGTCAGGTCCTCGAGCATTGAGGGAGGGAGGGAGGGAGGGAGGGGGGGAGGGAGGGGGGGAGGGAGGGAGGAATGGAAGGAGGGAGGGGGGGAGGGAGGGGGAGGAGGGGGAGGGAGGGGGAGGGAGGGAGGGAGGGAGGAGGGGGAGAGGGAGGAGGGAGAGAGGAGCCCTCGGGCAGGGAGCGAGGGAGGAGAGGGGAGGACGAGCGCACCGCCTCAGCAGGGCCACCCTGGCTACGGCGGAGTCTGGGATGGGCCGCGCCGCGCCGCCCGGGGAGCCCGCCTGCCAATGAAGACCACTGCCCGGCAGCGAAGTAGAAAAGGTGGGAGGGGGAGGGCTCCGAGGCTCTGCGGCGAGGGCCACGAGGCGGGAGAGAGAGGAGGTTGCCAAACGGCTCGTGGAATAGCACCGGCAGTGCTCGCAAGTACGTGCAGGCTGGAGGCAGGGAGGAGATGGAGGGGGGAAGGAGGGAGGAGAAGGACGGCGACGACGACGGCGAGGACAACGCGGTGGAGGGAAGGGGGCCAGGAGGAAGATCAGTGCCCCCGCGAGAGAGGGAGGAGGCGCAGCAGGGGGACCCTGGGGAAAACCAGGAGACACCTGTACCGCTACTCCCCAGACCTCTCTGCAGGGACGAGCTGTGACCAGAATCTCGAGGCGCATCCAGCGGTGGCGACCGAGAGCCTCCCAGGAAGCCCCAGGAGGGCAAGAACGAGGCAGAGGCAGCAGCGTCGGCACTCTCTCTCTGTCTCTCTCTCCTCCTCCCTCTGGGACACGGGCCAAGGGGGAACGGGAGCGAGGAGCAGGCAGCGACCGGCCACGCGCAAGAGCGAGCCCAGGCAAGGAGTGGCCTCCTAAACGCGGCATCGGGGAGCCGCGGGGAGGGCCGAGTCCAGGCGCGCGTGAGACCAACGCTGCGGAGGGCCCCACTGAAGGTCACTCTGGCGATGGGCCACTCTTCCGCGCAGCCGCAAAGTATGAAGGGAGGAGGCGGTGAAGGGGGGTGGAGTCCTCGTCGCCAGCGGCCGTCGTCCAGCCGTACTTCCACGCCTTCTCCTGTATGTGCTTCGGGACCCCGCCGCCACAGTCCGAGATCTTGATGATGACGTGCACGTCGCCCTGCTGCAGCTCCACCACCACTGGTGGGATCTGCGAGCTCTTCCCCTTTGTGGCCGGCGAGGCGTTCGGCCCTCGCGAGGACAGCCCCGGGAGGTAGCACAGGCCCCCCTAGGCCCTCGGGCCGAGGGTATACGTCGCCGTGTCGAGAGCTCCTTGGGCTCAGGGCTCGAGCTGAGCTGAGCAGTGTCTCCGCTGTCGTTTTCTTGTCGTGCTCCCTCGCTCCTTCTTCGCCCCGCCGTTGCTGCAAAACGCAGCCAAAACGAAAGCGGCCCGCGAAATCGGCAACACACACACACACAATTTCGCCCGCGCCCTGCTCGGGTTTCTGTCACGTCGCCGGTTTGCGTACACTGCCCGCAGGCGCGAGGCCCCCGCGACAGCGGCCCCGAGGGGGGCGAGGGCGAGGGCGACGTTGAGCCCCCCTGCCTCCCGGAAGCCTGGCAAGTCACCCCTCTTGCGTGGTCTTGGCGGGATCCCGCTCCCCCCGGGTGCATTCTTCTGGCATGGCTCCGATCAGAAAACCCGTCCACGAAACACAGGGTGCCCGTAAAGTTCGGGCGGGGTGCAGATCCC